AAGACAACTTTTCTTGAAAATAGTCATAGAAGGGACAAGAAATCCTGCTTTGTTACTTAGTTAGAATCTAATTTACTTTTTTTTGTTTTTAATTCCAGAAAAAATATTCTGAAGGCTATTTGCTAACAACCTCCAACTATTATTTTCTCTTATTAGCGTATTTGATTTATGAATTCACAGAGAATATTGTAGGGGTAAGCGCAAGGTCCTGAGTTTGATTCCCAGTACCTAATAATAATAATAATAATAATAATTTTGTTTTGTTTGTTTGCTTTACTTCCTTGATAAATATTGGAGGAAACATCTTTTATGTACCTCACATTACCACTTGTAAAATGTAAGTCACAAATTTAATCTTAAATACTTTGGGGTTCTTGGATGGATCTCTCAAGGTTTAAGTGGTTTGGAGGTGAAAATAGCAGTGCTTCAATGGGGGTCCGATTAACACTATCCCGCCTCTACATTTTGTGCATATACAAATCTTCCTAGTGAGACCCATTGATCTGTGTAACCAGCGCAGTTTCATTTCAAAGCTGAATTTTTTCCTCAGAATCACAGTCAGCATAACTCTGATTCCCAGAGACATTTCTCCTTATTTTTTCTAAAACCAGATGGTTTTGCTTATTCACTTTTTTAGTACTTGAAACAAAATAATTCAGAGTATTGATAACATTATGGATCAGAAGATTTTCTAAAATTACTCTTAAAGCCCTTAGTTAACCCACAGGCTTAAATAAAAAGCTGCCAAAGGTGGGAAATTTTGCAAATCTGAAAACAAAGCCAGGCGTGGTGGCTCCTGCCTGTAAGTCCAGCTCTGTGGAGCCCTAGGCAGGAGGATCACTGCTAGAGGCCAGCCTGGGCTACATAGTGAGCGAAAGGTCAATCTGAACAACACAGCAAGACCCTGTCTTAAAAAGACAGACAGATAGACAGACAGAAAGATGAGGGGAGGGGAGGGAAGGGGAGGAGAGGAGGGGGTAAGGGGAAGGGAAGGAGAGAAAGGGGGAGGGGAGGAGAGGAGAGAAAGAAGGAGGAAAGGAGAGAGGAGAGCAGGGGAGGGGAGGGGAGGAGAGGAGGGGGTAAGGGAAAGGGAAGGAGAGAAAGAGGGGGAGGGGAGGAGAGGAGAGAAAGAAGGAGAAAGGGGAGAGGAGAGGAGGGGAGGGAAGACAGGACAGGAGAGGAGAGGAGAGGAAAAAAAAAAAAGAAAGAAAAAGGAAAAGCTCTAGAAATTCTGTTTGATAAGTGCTTGCCTGGCGAGTGCAGGGTCCTGAGTTCAACCCCGGTACCGCAAAAAAAAAAAAAAAAAAAGAAAAAAAGAAATTGTGTTTGAATTTTATCTTTGACAGAATGTGTCTGTGTTAAGAATGCAAAACCACTTTCATTTACAAGATGTTACTTCTAGGCTTTCTCCCTATAGCAAGTCCTGAAAATTACAATTTTTTCTAGGTGATTATCTTACAGTACAGCAGCATTTTGAATGAATTGAATTTTTTTTTTTTTTTTTATTGTGTGGCCAGCTCAGCCCACCAGGGGGCGGGCGGGCCGGCATGTGGTGCTGGGGGATTGAACCGAGGTCTCTGTGCTTTGCTTGAGCTTAACTTGTTCTAAGTAGGTGCTTTAGACCACTGAGCCATCTCACCAGCCCGAATTGAATTTATTTGAAAGATCAACTTTGTAACTAGTAAATATTTGATATAATCGACCTATAAAGAGAAAAGATTTACTTTGGCTCACTGTTTTCAAGGTTCCAGTCCATGATCAGGCAAACCTATTGTGTTTAGGCATCCTGTGGGTGGGTAGCGCATTGTAGCAGGCCTGGGTACCACAGCAGAATTCCTCCCCTCATTGTGTGTGTGTGGAGGCACACAGGTAGCGACCCTGTGATCCCGTCCCATGGCATGCCGCCAGTGAGCTAAACTTTCACTGGGTTTATCTCTCAAAGGTTCCTCCACCTCCCAGTAGCAGCAAGCTGGACCTTTGGAGGATATAAATTCAGTTCCAGACGTGGTGGGGTGCAGGGGTTGTTGTTGTTTTGGGTTTTTTGTTGTTTTTGTTTTTTTAAATAGGGATTCACTACGCAGTTCAGGCTGGCCTCATACTCTCTGGGACCCTCTTGCCTCAAATCCCCTGTGCTGGGATTACAGGCATGTGCCACCATGCCTGGCAGTTCCAAACTTTAGAAATCAGCAAATAAAAAGTAACCAAAACTGTGGGTGGAGGGTACCTGCCAAATCTTTTTATGCTGGCTGACATTTTCTTTTTCCAGTGGGGGTAAACAGGTTCTGATCCTGGAGCCAGAACATGTCAAGCCATATGAGTCATATGAATATAGTGGATATTAGTGCAACTGACCCAAATGATGTGGCAGGATTAGAGTTGGTGTAGCTTATTTTTATTAAAAATAAATTTGGGGCCAGTGAGAGAATTCAGCAGACTAAGTGCCTGCTTAGGCAAGCACAGGGACCAGGGTCAGATCCCTGGCCTGACATGCAACATCAGCTCCACTGTTAGGCGCACTGAGCTGGCCACTGAGTCTGGCATGGTGGTCTACGCCTGTAGTCGCAGTGCTGGGGAGGCTGAAAACAGGAGGATCACTATGAGTCCAAGCTGCCCAATGAGACCCTGTACCAAATACATTTAAAAAAAGAAGTTCAATTACTTGTATAGCTATCAAAGTTGACTGGTGATAAACTGTGTTAAATGTATACTGAATTTGTAATACATGATTCTTAAATTAATGAGTCTTTATCTCTGACTTCTGAAGTTGCATGTTTTTTGTCTTCAAGAGAGAGTTATGATAACAGCAAAAACCTTGTAAAAGTGAGAGCTCACCTTTGTGATATTTGATATTATATTATTCCATTGAATGTAAAGGTTAATAAATTTTGCTAATATTATTAGGGTACTAAGTGTCTTGCCTCCTGTCATACTGACTTTCCAATGGAAAGAAACTGAGGTTTGATCTTTAGGTTCTAGTTGAAAGCTATCTTTTTTTTTTTTTCTTTTTGAGACAAAGTTTCACTATGTAAAGCAGGCTGGCCTGGACTCATTATGTAGCCCAGGCTGGCCCTGAACTCACAGTGATCCTCCTGCATAGGCCTTCCAAGTGTGTGCCACCACACCCAGCATAGGCTATCTTTACAAACTGAATATATTTGCCATAACCCTGTGTACCATGTCTGGGGATGTCCCGTGACACTAGTTTTCTCTTATGTTACATTTCTGGTGCTAAAAATTGCAATTTGTATAATTAGAGATCTATCCAAGATATGAGAGATAAAATGTGGGAATTTTTTAGGAATCACAAAATACTTTATTAAAATCTGTACCATCCTATCTTGTAAATTCTGGAAATGTAGGATGAAAAGGTATGGTGTCTACCCTCAGTGAGTTTATAGGCCACTTAGAGGGACAGTGATGTAATAGCATGATAGGCATTGAATGGAAGTGTGGGCAGGTACCATTAGAACACAGGAAGGACGGCTTAAATTGAGGTAGAAGAGGCAGGTCAGACCACACACAATTGCTTATGCTGAGTTTTGAAGCAACAGACATTTGATCAAAAACACAAGAACGGATATATGACCTGTGGGGAGGGAGCCTCACTGACAAAATCACTGGTCTCAATGCAGTTTTCTTTTCCGGAGGGGTAAAGGACAAGGCAAAGAATACCCAGGGAAGAAGTAGGTAGGTAGGAAATAGGGCTTTTCTTTTTTGAACCAGGAATTGAACTCAGGACCTTGCACTTGCCAGGCAGTCACCAGGCTGCTTAACTATGTCCCTGGCCCAGAAATAGGTCTTTTGTAACAAGCTAAGCACTTTGAATTGAGTTGAAGGAATGATAGCACATTCTGAAAGAACTTTGAATAGTGGAGTAGAGTAGATTTGGATTTTGAGATAATTACTTCGCATTATTTGAAATAATGGCCCCATCACAAAGACCAAATTATAAGGCGAGGAAGCACCTGTTGAAAAGGTATTGCTGTAGTCCAGGGAAAAGATGTTGAAGCTGTAACCCAAAGCAGCAACTGCAGGAAGAAAGTGGATTGAAGAAGGGAAACAGCCAGTCAGGCTGAAGGGCTTTGTCATTATCCTCGGGGATGTGAGTTTTCTCCTCCAAGGGCTGAACTGTAGATTTTTCTGGGTAGGTAATGATCTTTTGCAGAGAATATTATATATATAGTGTGACTTGTTTTTGCCTGGGTACCTGGGAATAGGTAATGCTTGAGTGTTTTGGGGTTTTGGGGGGGGGTTTGTGGTGCCAGGAATGCTTGATGTTTATATTTTTTAAAAGTCTATGGAATGGGGATGGGGAGATAGCTCAGTAGAATAGGTGCTTGCCTGGCAAGTGCAAGAGTCTGAGTTCAATCCCCAGTTCCACCACACACACACAAAAAAAAGTCTATGGAATGGCGGGGGTATGGTAAAGCTCTTGCCTAGTATGCCTAGTATGCACAAAGCCTTGCATTTGATCTCCAGCATCCCCTTCCCCCTCAGGTACCCTCCCCCCCCCCCTTCCCCCTCAAAAAAAAAAAAAAAAAAAAAGCCTAGTGCATGTTTCTTTGGTTTGAGAAACCATAAGAGTAAATAAAGGCCAAAGTTTATAATCCATATTGAGGAGAAAAAAATGTTCAAATGAGAAGGGAAATTAGAAAGGGGGAGGGGAAAGGAAAGGAGAAAAAAGAGAATAAAAGAAAAAAATGAAAAAACTTTCGTAAATAAGGAAGGAAAGAAGGGCTGAGAAGAGAGGAAGGGAATGGGAAAAAAAGAATCAAGATATATTATGTACAGGTACAAATTCCCCATGAGGAATATGAACACTATGTATATCTAAAGTGTACCAATAAAATTAATTTTTAAATACAATTTCCCATGGTCCGGTGATATAGCTCAGCATGACAAAGCCTGCCTAGTAAGTACAAGGTCCTGAGTTCAATTTCTGGTACCAAAAAAAAAGTATTTCATATCTTCTATACAAAGTTCATTTGATTTCTACACAGATTCTTGGGGCCCAAAGCCGGAATGCAGGTGGAAAAAGGATCTCTGAAAACAGCTATTCTCTGGATGACTTGGAAGTAGGCCCAGGTAAGCAGCGAGTTTCACAGGTGGGAATTCCTAGGAAACACTCATTAGTAGCAAAGCCTTTGGAGTGGAAGCCAGCTCTTTTAAAGGAAGAGGGACGCTAATTAGGAGAAAGTCCTTCTGTTCCCAAATCTCATTGCTTTCTATAAATAGCTTTTCTTGTATTTTTAAGCCATTTTTTTCAGTAGCACCCTGTGAGGAATGGTGGGTAAAGTGCCATTGACACTTCCGGCCCCACAGTCATCTGGGGCGCGAGGACTTGAGGAGCCAGGCTGCGGGCCTGATTGAGAGCGGGTCTCTGGGGCTGAGCAGTAGAAAGCAAGTGTGCAAGACCCTGAGTTTGATCCCCAGCACCAAGAGCAGAAATAAAAGAGAATTCATTATATTGCTGGTGGTAATAGCTTAAGAGTGAAATTATTATTTCTTGGAAAAGGCAAGTGCATATAGTATATAGGTACCTTGCGGAGGAAAAACCTAAGCATGAGGAGGTCATCGGCCTCCCAGTAATCAAAGAAATGCGCATTTTAACAACATTGAGATTTCGTTTTTTCCACGTGTTGAATTGCCATAATTTTCAGTTATTTCAAAATATATGGTGTTCAATTATGGTAAATGTTTTCTTTTTAACATTAGGAAATGGAGTGAATATTGTCTTACAAATGACTATTATATTTCTGTTTCCCTTCTTTGTACTTTTAATAATAGAAGTTGGCCATTAGATGACAATCCAAAACTTGGGACCTCAGAACCAGTGGCGTTACATTCTACTTTCTAACAAAGCATGTTATTTGCATTGCTGCAGGTCATTTGCCATCCTCTGCATTCAGCCAGGAGAAAAACGAGAGTCGGAGAAATCTGGAGCTCCCACGCCTCTCAGAAACCTCCATAAAGGATCGAATGGCCAGGTACCAGGCAGCTGTGTCCAAGCAAAGTGGTTCAGCCAGCTATACGGTATGTGTCCTGTGCCACTGTCCCTCCATTCACTCTTCCAACCGGTGATCTGGGGACTGGTCGCTGAACAGAAAGCCTCCCTTGCTTCATTTGTAACCCTAGTTATGATGTTGCTGTCCTAGCTCATTTATACTTGGGGCTGGTGAGATGGCTCAGTGGTCTAAAGCACCTACTTAAAACAAGCTCAGCAAAGCACAGGGACCACAGGGACCACGGTTCAATCCCCCAGCACCACATGCCAGCCAGCCCCGCCCCCTGGTGGGCTGAGCTGGCCACACACACATACACACACATTAAAAAAAAATAATATACTCATACCCACTCATTTTTCTGTGTGTTACTGGCTTTTCTACTTAATCTTTTAATTGTTGTAATTAAGCAGTATTTTTTTTTTTTTTTTTTTGGTACTGGGAATCAAACTTGGGACCTTGCACTTGCCAGGCAGGCTCTTATGCTGCTGAGCTATCTCCCTAGCCCCTAAACAGTATCTTATTAGTTTCAGCAGAAACTTTTTTTTAAGTTCTTTCTTTCTTTCTTTCTTTCTTTCTTTCTTTCTTTCTTTCTTTCTTTCTTTCTTTGGTACAGGGTCTTACTACATAGCTCAGACTCATAGTGATCCTCCTATCTCAGCCTCCCCAGCACTGGGATTACAGGCGTGTGCCACCTGGGGTACCCGGGATCAAATCTGAGTCCTTGCACTTGCCAGGCAGGCACTTTAGACTGCCGAGCTATCTCCTCAGCCCTGAAACTTTCTTTTTTAGTGCAAGCACTGTGTCGCTGAAGTACACACCCAACCCTTGTCTCAGTTACTGTTCTCTCATTGCTGGAACAAAATACCCAACACCCAATTAAGGAAGGAAAGGTTTATTTAGCTCACAGTTAGTGGAGGTTTCAGCTCTACTCAGTTTGCTCCGAGGTGGAGTGGCACTTGGCACAGAAGAGCAAGGGGAGGGGCAGCAGCTAACCTCAGCTAGCTAGCCTCTCTCCCCTCCTTCCTCTCTTTCCTCCTTATATTGTAATGCAGATTACATGCCCCAGGACCTGTGCAGCACCCACACCCACGGTAATCATCACAGACTCCAGAAGCAGCCCCGTGACAGCATGAGGCTTTGGAGGGGAGCACCTATACACAAACTGTAGCAGCCCTCAAGTTGCCTTTTAAATGGCATTTATTCATATGTACACAAACATATATGCACATATATAGACACATATTTTTAAATTTTCTTTTTAAAAGTGCATGTCTGCATATTTTTCTTTCAAACATTTTCCAAAAATTTTAAATTGTCTTCATGTCAGAAACTGGAAGAATACTACAGAATTTTATTTGTTCCTAGGCAGATTGACACTGATGCTTTTTGGAGTATTTCAGAAGTTAAGCCCGCTTTCCCTCCACAAAATTAAATGTGTAAGCTCTTAATAGTATGTATTGGTGGACTAATCTTCTGTATAATGAATGATTTCACCTTGACTTTTCACAGAAGTTTTATTTTTATTTGTATTTTAAAGAGAAAATGAGACAAAGTTTCAAAACAGAATAGGATAGTAACAGTAGTTAATACATTGCATATGGTTATCTTCAAAGTAGCTATTCGAGTATAAGACATAAGCATTAAAAACTGACCAAGCAATATTAGCACAAACTTCAGTGAACTAAGAGAAATTAGTGGTGTAGCTATCTTAACTATCACAGTAATTTTAAGAAGAAATGACTCAAAACAGAATAGCTCAAGTTCATTATTCACAGTAAATGGAAATGAACAAATGTAGGCTTCCTTTAGAAAGCAGGCCGGAGCTACACCAGGTGTTCTGCAAAGCTTCCTGCGCCCTCCCGCTGCGCACATTCTGTCCAGGTGACTCCCTAAGTGGGAAAACCTGTTCAGTGACTTTTTTTCAAAACCCGCTAATAGAGTTTTTGCACTGCAACTTCCCTGCCTAGAGATTTTTAAGAGTGGAGAAGTCTTTAGGAATTCTTGTAAAAAGATGAGTTTATGTCATCCCAAAAGAATTTCACAGGCCCTTCATGAATGTGGTTGTGTCAAAGCACATCCTCATGGCTCTGGAGGTTGGGCTTTGAGATGGGTCAAGAGTGAGTTACAAAGCTGCCAACACTCTGAGTGCACCCTCGGAGCTGCAATGTGGATGACCTGACCTGAGGAAAACACTCGTACTTTCTTTTCCCTTAGTAGCCTTTTGTTGACTATTTTGCTCATTTCCTCCTATACTTAAAGAATCACAGAGGGCAGAAAGGTACAAGATAACTAAATTACTAGCAGACTAAAGGTAGGCAAGTAAATTAACTTAACTATTCTCCCCCAAGTGTCCATTGCTGTGATTGTTTATTCTTTAGGGTGATATTAAGGCATGCTTTTTTTTAATGTTGAAGGTATTAAGAGAAGTAGAAATAAGGTATGTCATTTGTACAGCATACGAATTTTTGTGAAAAGCATAAAACCCCACAGTACAAGGTTGTTTATGGTATCAATAAATTCATTTTTCATATGTACACGTCATCCCTGTCTCTTTTTCCAGGCCGGGCACTTATATATATGGTCAGTATATTTTCTTAATTATTGGCACTTAGCAACTCCTTTCCCTGCTCCAGAATGGTCTTTTTCTGATAAAACTCACAAGCTTTGCATTTCCACAAGCTCTGCTGCTACAAGAGTGAATCACAAGAACATCGTGTGCTGGGGGTGGTCTGTGTGTGTCTCCGTGTTGATGTGTTTGTATTCTAATGAGTGCAGTTTGAGACTAGCATACAAGTATTTAACTCTGAGGTATGTGTCCACGCAGCTGCTTTTGTCATTTCACTGGTCAGTGGGTTTTGCTTGTGAGACTTAGGGAGTTGATTTGACCTGAGGCCTCTGAAAGAATTTATTTTAAAAAGCATTCCACATTTATTTGAAAGATGTGCTGTGAGAATGGAATGGAATGGAATGGAATGGAATGGTGAGAATTTTTTAAAAGATTCATGGGCTATTTTTATTTGACAGAATGAGTTGAAAGCCAGTGCTGCTGAAATCAAGACTCATAAATTGGAGCAAAAGGAGAATGTGCCCCCGAGTCCTGAGGTCTGCATCTCCCATCAAGAGGTAGAAAAGGTGGGTTGAAAAGTCTGATGTCCAGTTGCCAAGCAAGCATGTGTTCTAAATTAGATGCTTAAAATTAGAAGCCACTTTAACTCTAGGCTGGAGGGTGTCTGGGAATTTGGTAACAGCTGCTAGGACAGATTGTCGTTTTTGCAGGTCACATAATTTTACTCGGGAAGCCCTGCAATTTACAGCTGACCAGATAATGAGCCTTCATTAGAAAATTCTTTTGCTCAGCAAATGCTCACAGCCCATGGAGCTGAAGTGATTTTTAAAAATCTGTTTGATTACATATATTTATTTTTAAAGTACTTGTATATGCTGAATTTTAAAAAGTCTTTTATTTATTTATTCATTTGGTACAGGGTCTTGTTATGCAGCTTGAACTTGTAGTGAACTTCCTCTCTCAGCATTTCCAGCAATGGGATTACAAGTGTGTGCCACCATGTTCAGTTTTGGTCACTGGCATGGTGCATCCGGGGTTCTGGGGCTGGCACAGCATACAGTATCGGGGATCAAACCCAGGGACCTTGAGCTTGCCAGGCAGAGGCTTAGATGGTCAAGCTATTTCCCCAGCCATTGTATATGCTGAATTTTAACTATATACTTATTTGTTTGTTGGTTTTTGTAGTACTGGAGATTGAACCCAGGCTCTTCACATTGAGCTACATCCCCAACCCTTTTTATTTTAATTTTCTTTTTTTGTTTCTTTTTTGTTTTGTCTTTTATGAGACAGGGTTGCACTATGTACTATACAGGCTGACCTCAAAGTCATGGTGATCTTTCTGCTTCAGCCTCCCAGAGTGATGGGATTACAGACATGTGTCACCATGTCCCGTTTAACACAGCTCTTTTGTGTTTTTATTTTGTTTTTGAGATAAGGTTTGGCTGTCTTGCTCAGGCTGGTTTGGAGTTTTTGCTTTCAAGAGATCCTTTCACCTTAGCCTCCCAAGTAATTGGGACTAGAGTCATGTGTTATCACACCTAGTTTGACATGTTTACAAAAGAAAATCTCAGGGCCAGCCTGATAGCTCAGTGGACTAAAGTACCTGCTTAGGCAGAGGGCAGCGGCCAGGTTTGGTCCCCTGCATGCCATACTGGCCCCACCCCCAGGGTGTGTTAAGACTGCCATTGAGACTGGACATGGTGGCAAGCACCTGTAATCCCAGCACTTGGGAGGCTGAAAAACGGGATCACTACAAGTCCAGTCTATGTAGTAAGACCCTGTAGACCCTGCATCCCCTGCACTAAAATGGAAAAAAAAAAAATGTAAAAGAAAATCTTATTCGCTCAAAGCTTGGTTTTTTGTTTTGCACTGCTGAGGATCAAACCCAGAGCCTTGTACATGATAAACATGTGCTTTAGCACTGAGCTATACACCTAGCCCTCACTTAAAGTATTTTAAAAGCTAGATACTGTGAGAAGCATATAAGATGCTAAGCTTAAAAAAATACAGACAAATCTAGGCATGGTCATGCACACCTGTAATCCCAGACTCTGAAAGGCTGAGGCAGAGGGATTGCAAGTTTGAGTCCTGTTTGGGCAATTTAGGGAGGCCTTGTCTCAAATTTAAAAAAAAAAAAAAAAAAAAAGGAAAGGGAATGTAGCTCTGTGCAAAAACCCTGGGTTCAACCCCAATACTAAAATAAAACAAAAACCAAAATGTTCTCTATGTGCTAAGAAACTAGCAAGAGTGTAGGAGAGAGGAATAACAGGCTGTTTATAAGGAAACAGCACAACAGGGCATGAGAGGGTAACAGGGCCTGAACCTGGCTTCCTCGTGAAGGTGCAGTCTGAGCTAAGTCTTGTGATTGTGCAGAAAGAGGCCAAGCAAAGAAAGGAAAGATTAAGAAAAAGAAGGGCATGCAGACACAGGCTTGGAAACCAGACTGTGGCTTGCACAGGAATTGTACTTTGGCAGGAATAATATACATAGAAATAGTGGCAAGAGGCAGGCGAGGTAGGGCCAGGGTGAAATCTGGTAAAGCGTCTCGAAGGTTTGGACACAGACTGGCCATCGTGGAAAGCCACAGAAGATTTTGAGCAAGTCGTTTTTGTATTTTATGCCTTCATCATTAGATGAATGGCTTAGTTGCACTAACAAGCAGTATTTATACCAGATGAATGTCATATTCTGTGTCAAACCTACTCAGTCTTTGTAGTCTTTTTGTCAATATAACAATCAAATGTTGAGATGATCTATTACTATGCTAAATTGTAGGAGAAAAAAAATTGTTTCTGTTATGCATAATAATACCTTTGATATTATTCTTCTAAAAGTTGAAGAGATACTCTTAAAATGGGTTGAGTAACAGTTGTCAAACTTACTTTTTTTTTTGAGACAGGGTCTTTCTACATAGTTCAGGCTGGCCTTGAATTCGTTCTGTAGCCCAGGCTGGCCCTTGAACTCAGGGCAATCCTCTTGCCTCAGCCTCCCCAGTGCTGAGTTTATAGGAGTGTGCCACCATGCCCAGCTTAAACTTACTTGACTATCATAGAATTTTTTTAAAAATGTATTTGATTATTGTAGGGTTTCACTACACAGCTCAGACTCATAGTGATCCTCCTTTCAGCCTCCCCAGCGCTGCAGGCACATTAGTCCGTGAGCTATCTCACCAGCCCCAACTATCACAGACTGTTTAATGCATGGTGTATTGACAGAACACTTACAGGAACTTGAGAAGGATTTTTTTTTTTCTGGCTCAGGCTGCCTTAAGGGTGGGTCTGCTAAGGCAGGTGGAGATGGGGATTGAACCACGGTATCCTGAGCCTGTGTTTGCATGAGCAGGTGCTTAAACAACTGAGCTAACCAGCGGGCCCCCTAAAAACCTGAGATAATTCGGCACACTTGAATCAAAGTAGGCACCCAGAGACAATGTTCTCAGTTAAAGGCTATAAAATTTGATTCACAGCATAGAACAGAAAATTAGTTAGAAAAATTAAATTATTTTCTAAAAATATCTCAAGCATATGTTGAAATAATAAGTAAATATTTGATGGTCATGTGATACCTGATCATAAAATTAGCAAATAACTTGGGTACATTTTTACAGCAGTGGGGTCTTGCATTAGTCAGAGGGTTACGTGTGTTGAGTTCTCTCCTTAACTGCCTGATTTTCCTGTTTTAAGTGAGAGGCTGTTTTAAGTATAATGAGTGAAATACCTGCATTCTCAGGTATGTGCCACTGAGAGGCTGAGGCAGATAGGTCACAAGTTTGAATCCCGTGTGGGCAATTTAGCAATTTAGTAAGACTCTGGCTCAAAATAAAAGGGTGGTGGGGAATAACGAGTGACAGTGTTTGGAATGTTCCTTATATTCTGTAAAAAAAAAAATTTTTTTTTTTTTTTTTGGTGGAACAGAGGATTGAACTCAGGCCCTTGCGCTTGCCAGGGAAGCACTTATTCCACTGAGCCATCTCTTCAGCCCTGTAAAAAAAATTTGAGAGGAAAGTATTCCCAGCATTGAAATTCCCCCTAAATCTACCTCAGGAGCATAGTCTGGAACATAATGCTTTGGTTGTTCTTATATTTAATTTTATGCTTGTTTCTTGATTGTCTTCATGCTGATTAACTAGAACTCTACGCTGAACTGGAAGAACAGAACATCTTAATTATAGCCTAAAAGGGCATTAGTGCAACTGAATCACAAATTGATGTGTGGGTGGGGAAGAAGTGATAAAAATAGTAATATTCTTCAAGTGTATACTGAAGTTTTATAGACCTTTAACTGCCTTAACATTTGCAACATTTTTCAGAGCCTCCCTATACTTTTGGCTGTTTTCCTAGTTTTTGTTAACCCGTACCTAAGCACTGTTTGAACTTTAGCATGCTTCATGAGGCTGTCAATGCTAGGACAGCTGGGTGTGGTTGCATAGTGAGACCCTGTTTAAAAAAAAAAAAATGCCAAGACAAACTTCTTTTTTGAGATAGGGCCTTTCTATGTAATTCAGGCTGGCTTTGAACTCACTACATAGTCTAGGCTGGCCTCAAACTCATGACAATCCTCCTGCCTCATCCTCTAACTGCTGGGATGATAGGCATGTGTCACCACGTCTGGCTAGCTCAAAATTTCTATTTTTGAAATAGAATATTTTGTTGAGGTATTGTTCTTTCCTTTCTCCTCTTGTGAACAAATTTGTGCTTTCCTTTAATGACATGTTTGAACAAAATCTGTCTAGAAGTTCTTGCAGTGACATCATCTCATTGGCCGTGTGCAATGATGTCAAAACCTGTGGGCTACCCCACAGGCTCAAGGTGACTAGAGGAGAGGCGAGAAAAGAACAGCCCAAGATGGATGCTCCTGCTAACTTAGCAAAAGCTGAAGAACTTTTAAGAGAAATGTATAACTTTCAGAAAATTATTTCATATCATTAAATGAAATAATGTGCCTAATGTGATCAGTCCCATACCTGGTACATGATAAATACTCAGTAAATGTCAGCTGTTATTATTTTGGTTTGTTCGTACCATATCAGAATTGCTGTGGTGAAAAAAGCATAGAAAAAGCAACCTCGTTGACATTTAGGTGCAGTTAGCCAACAGCTTAATCTCCACCATAAATTTATTCAGTACATTAGACATCCTGATATAAACACTCAGTTTATATCAAGAGAAAATCCAATGTTGGAATGATAGAATATTACCTAAAGAGTGTACATTGTTGAGCCTTCATGATTTTTGGAATGTGGAGAGGATACAGGAAGACCAAGGGCGAGTAGAAAAGAGCAAGAACCAGTAGAGAATTCTTTTGTTTACGATGGCTCCTGTGAAGGAGTCCCCTGCCTTGCGCATAAGTGCTGCCATCTTGTTAGGCACTGCCATTTTGAGACTGGGATTTTTAGGGTACTCGTGGAGCTTAGTTGGAGGTAAACTTGTTTCTTAGCAATTAGAAAGTCTTCCATGTGGGCAAGCTTATTTAGCAGAGTGCGTTTGGTTGGGAAATGGTGTTTAGGAAAATCAAAAGAGGAAGAATAGTTCTTGTGTCTAAATACTTCATCTTGTCTTGGGTGTGCTTTGCGCTCTTGGACATAGGGGTTTTTTTTTGCTCTTTTTTTTTTTTTTTTTTACAAGTGGGATGCTACGGCTTAGAAGCTCTTTCGTACAGGGAGGTGATGCTCGCTTTGGCAATAGAGCTCAGTCTGTCTCTCCATTACTCTGTAATTGAGAGGCATGTTAATAGCCTCATAAAAGACATTCTGCTGCCTCTTGTTTAAATGCTCAGCTGTTCTGGTGCCCGTTATTTCCCCCAGGCAGCCAGTGACTGACTAGAGTCAGCAGGTTTTTATGGCATTAACAGCAGCTTGCTTTTTTATTTTTAATGTGATTCTTAATCTTCTCCCAACCTTCCCTCCACACTTTTTTTTTTTTTCCAGATTTCTGCAACTGAGAATAGACTAGCAGTCCATTCCACCGCTGCTGAAGATGACGCCTGTAAGCATTTGCCCTTACCTTTGGAGGGTGTGAGGTCTTGTTTTCCATCCATTCTTGGTTCAGAGTTGTCATTGTTAAGAAAGTCACATACTATAACCAGCAGTTTACCTGGTCAATCTTCCACTTAGTTTTAAGGACTGGTGCTTGAATTTCCTTCACACACTTCATGGTTTAGAGAGAAGTTAAGTTCAATATGGTTAAAGTTAAATAAATTAAGGTTAAGTTAAATATGGTTAACTTGGAACAAATGAAATACTTCAGTGTATCTCTCATGGAAATTGTCCTATCCTTTCTACTAAGCTTTTCCAGATTTAAAACTCTATAAAGTAATTTTGGAGGTTTTTTGTTTCGGTTTGGTTTGTTTTTTGTCTTTTTGAGATAAAAGGATCTCATTATGCAACTCTGATTGGCCTTGAGCTCATTTTGTGGCCCAGGCTGGTCTCAAATTTGCAAGGATCCTCCTGCCTCAGTCTCCTGAGTGCTGGGATTACAGACATGCACCACTTCACCTAGCCTGAAGTTTTATTTTAACAGAGATTTGTTTAAGAAGTGTTATATTCATTTACCAGGAAAAAAAATATGTGTATGAGCTGGGAATGGTGGTACAAGACTGTAACCTTAGCACTCTGGGAATATGAGACAGGAGGATTGGAAGTTTGAGCACAGCTTGGGCAGTTTCGCAAGATCAGTGTGAAGGCCCTATGTTCAATCACCAGTACTACCAAAACAAACCAAAACATTGGTGTTTGGTTTTTTTATTGTTTGGTTTTATTTTTTATTTTATTTTATTTTTAAACATTGGTATTTGAGTATCCCTTTAAGGCTCTAGAGGTTTTCCTGCCAGTATTTAATTTTTTTTTAAAGTATATATTTATTTGTGTGTGTGTGTGTGTGTGTGTGTGTGTGGCCAGCTCAGCCCACCAGGGGGCGGGGCTGGCTGGCATGTGGTGCTGGGGGATTGAACCATGGTCCCTGTGCTTTGCTAAGCTTGTTCTAAGTAGGTGCTTTAGACCACTGAGCCATCTCACCAGCCCGCCAGTATTTAATTTTGTAATCATTTCACTCTATTTTGAAATCATTTTGCACCTCCCCAAAATAAAAATATTTTGTCTTTAGCTTCACCATGTGCACTTTCCATTTTAATTTTTAATGCATTGTTTAAAAACGTATATACAAATTTCTAGCATCTCTCCAAAGAAATTAGTTTACTGATCACTAAAAACTTCACAACGAAAATAGAAGTATGAGCTACACAGATCTCTAATGAACTCTTCCTTAATATTTCAGAGAAAAACTCTTACTACTCGAATCCAGGAACATTCCTTTTGTAGTCGTTTTACTTGAGCTAGAAATATTTATGGTTTTGACTAGGTTTATAAAACTTTTTTGAAAAATAAGCCTTAATCTTTTGGTACTTTGTTGGCTCCCAAGTTCTGGGATTTAAAGGCATCTTTTCTTAAATTCTAGACTTTAAGGAATCTTTTTATGATTTCTTAGTAGTTGTGTAAATGGCTTTTCTGTGCTGCTTCTGAGTTCCGCAGCATGAATACCGTGGCAGGAAGTTAACTCATGCAGTTGGCACTTGATGATTATGAAAAAACCTTTATGGAGCCCTTTTCCACAGTGTTCATCCGTGGATATGTGCTGCAAAGCTGACCTCAGGACAGTGAGATCACACACACAGCACACATGCCTGTCCATCCACAGCATGGGCTTTCAGCCCCCACACACTGCCATTAACCCGATTTCGGTTGAAGCACCCAAAGGTTATTGGGAATGCCAACTACCAAAAAGGCATCAGAGTCCACACACAGCCTTAATAAATAACAAATGCTACAGGGCAGAAAGTTCCTTATGTAGAGTGGTTTGGATTCCCACTGCTGGGCAGGTAGGCCGCCTACATGACAGCACTCCGACTTGTGAGAAAACTTGAGAGCTAGGCTTTTAGTTTAGAATATTCTTAAGCAGAACAGTGCTTTAAGAATAGTTGTTTTGCTTTTGTGTGTGAGTGTGTAGTTTTGTTTTGGTTTTTGGTTTGTTTTGGTTTTTGTTTTTTTGTGGCATTGAAAACACATTCCAAAAAACAGAAATGCACATTCCTTGATAGAAAGTGCCCAGTTTTTGCTTTTTGGAAGAACTCTTTCTAAGACTCCCCATGAGATACTCTAAAATGTTCTTTTGTGACTCAAGCAGGTGACTCACAGGTGAAGAATGAGGCGCAGCTACCTGTGTCCCCCACACTGAGTCCAGATGCCAGAGCGTCCAGCCTTCCTGAAAACTCTCCTCCCAAGATGGTGAAGGTACAGCGGCCACCCTTCTCTCAGTTTGTCACATGGCTTAGTGGTAGAGCAGATTGCACTTTGTATCAATATGTTCATTATAACCTGTTTGTATTTTCCTGGGGATAATAGTGCCAAATAAGGATACACTTAGAAATTGCTTTCCTGAAAATTTTTCTTCTGCTCACATGTTTGGACCAAGAGGGGAAAGGGTGACTAATGTCTATGATTAAAATCTGGAAAACTCATAGAACTTTTACAAAAATTTGAAGTTAAATAAGGTAATGTAATTTTTAAAAATTTAAGTTTATGGGGGCTGGGGAGATGGCTCAGTGGATTAAGTGCTTCCCTGGCAAGCGCAAGGGCCTGAGTTCAATCCCCAGTTCTGACAAAAAAAAAAAAAAAAAATTTAAGTTTATGGAACTGTGAATGGGTGAAGGCCCCAAAAATGAGAAATATGAAAAATCTGTTAAAATTAACATACTGGATAGAAATGTACCCCTTGATAACAGTGGCTCCCCAGTCTGAACAGTTTGGTCATAGCCTGATTGGTTGTTAACATTTTTATTTTTATTTATTTATTTTTATTTTTTGGCAGAACCAGGGATTGAACTTAGGCCCTTGCACTTGCCAGGGAAGCGCTTATTCCACTGAGCCATCTCCCCGGCCCCTTGCTAACATTTTTAGAGAAAGAGTGTGTCTGCTGGAGTTGGAGTTGATTAGCCCATTTTTCTGTAAAAATTGGCATTTAAGCAACATTATGCTATGGTGTAATATTGGATGTTAAGCAATGAACAAAAATTTTGTATGCTAAGCCAATTTTATTAGGCTACGCAATGTCTAGTCTTCTGTTATTCCCCAATTTAAAAGTCTTTCCCTTTCTATGAGTAAATATATATTTCCATAAAACTGATCCTAAAAAGGTTTAATTTTTTTTCCAATATGTATTTTAAGCTTGTCCTCTGACTTGTTTCAGTTGCATGCTTTGTTAATGCAATGTTACTCTACCTGTATAGGTTAATACCCAAACATGTCCTCATTTCTTTAGTATCTTTCTCCTTGGTGTGTTCTTTCGTAGCTGGACTTCCAAAAGTTTTAGCTGATAGAAACTCAACAGATAAGGGCTGGGGAGATAGCTCAGTAGAATGAGCGCTTGCCTGGCAAGCACAAGGTCCTGAGTTCAAGCCCTAGTACCACCAAAAAAAAAAAAGAAAAAAGAAAAAAAAAGAAAGAAAGAAAAGAAAAAGAAACTCAACAGATCGAATTAGGTAAAGGTGGTTTATATTGCCCCAGCTTCATACTGCTGTCTACCATGCTTTTATCCTTTACGGTGTGTGACTGATCCTTGGTCCATTTTAGTACATGAGAAAGACGATGAGATAAGGGCATAGGTGAGATGAAGAAATAAGAGAGTCCAGGATTTAAAGGGCAGATTAAAAGCATAGGGCTAGTGATGAAGATAAGTACAAAAATTCAAAAAGAAGCAGAAGTTTATGAAGAAGGGCCAGCCAGATAGCTCGGTGGACTAAAGTGTCTGCCTAGCCAGATGCAGGGACAGGAGTTCGATCCCCAGCCTGCTATGCCAGTCCCACCCATGGGGGTCACTGAGACTCGATCCAGACTGGATATGGTGGCACGCACCTGTAATCCCAGCACTTGAGAGGCTGAAAACAGGAGGATCACAATGAGTCCAATCTACATAGCTCCTGTAGACCCTGTACTAAATACACTTTTTAAAAACAAATATGAAGAGAGTAAGGTTTATTGATAAGTATCAGGGACCGGGCCAAGATCCCCAACTGCCTGTACGAGGGGTATGACGAAAGGATGAAAGAAGAAACAGAGACAAATTTAGTAATGCGTGATGTGGGACTGGGTGGTCAGGTCCAAGCCTCATGGTGGGCAAAGACAAAGACACCCCATACCAGCCACTGTTTATTAGCCAGCATGGGAATAAGAGGAGCAGTGCTTTTTCTGGAAAGAAAATAAGCCCGGATCTATACCCACACCTGAATGCTAATCTCAGTGACCAAGAGGAAGGTGATTTCCGCATTCCAAAATCCACCCACAAGCTAGGCAGGCCAAGGAGAGCCTGGGACAGATATTATGTCAATTTACAATTTGTAGTCCCCAACAGAAAAGAAACAAAAGAGCCAGGTATGGTGGTGCTCACATATAATCCCAGCACTCTGGAAGGCTGAGCCAGAGAGATCAAGGTTCCAGCTCAGCCTTGGGCAACTTATACCCTATCTCCAGAAGTTCAGGGCAAAGCCCTGGAGTCAGTCCCCAGTACCACCAAGAGGAATTGCGGTTGGAGGATGAACAAATGAACTGAGGTGATTCAGTCTGCATGCACATCCCCTCCGACTCTCTTCTGGCCTGGAAAATGCTGTCATTGGCACTTTATTTTTGAGGCCAATGACAGCAAATGCCACAAGGTTCTTTTCCTTTCCAGCAGCAACCTTGCCCACATGTGAGTCCTTGGGTTGTGCCTCTGGATCAAAAATGGCAAATAAAAGGGGCTAAGGAGGTAGCTTAGTGGTAGAGTCCTTGCCTAGCAGGCTCTGGGTTCAAAACTCAGCCCCACCTCAGCGTACCCCCCAAAAAGAAAAGTAAAAGTAAAGAATGGTGAGCTGATCTGACTTGGTCACAGATTTCTGTGTGACTGAGGAACCTGGGGAGTTTCTCTGGTTCATCTAAGCACTAAAATCTGTTCTTGAGATTGAATTCTCAACACAGCCATTCCTCCTTCAATTGGTAGACCAGGCAAGTTGGACTGACCCTTTTCTAGGTTGAGATCCTTTCTGATTCAAACACTGGGGCCTGAACTGATGAGTGCTATGCAGAGAGCCACATCTCATGCAGGTCTTCCTGGACACACCAGCGAAAGTAAACATAGGTAGAGCGCTCTCTGCAGGTGCGTCAGTCCATCCTGACTCTTTTGACCATGCTTACTGAGTAACAGATTGTAAACACCCCTGCCTTTACAGTTTAGGGCATTGGATGAAGGCTGAAGTCAACTGGCCTATGCTTATCTGTGGTCCAAATCTCAAAGTCATGGTGCCCAGAGCCTAAGATGGGACTGAATTACATTTCCACTTTTATTTAAGGGCAGTTTTTTTCTCTTCTTCCCCTTCACAGTCTGTAAGCAAGCAAGACACTTTAGTTAATGTGTATGACAAGACCTGTTGGTGTAACTGGTCTCATGGCTCTAGACTGAAACAGAAGTTGTTTCTCCACTTAGGGAAATTACATGCAGCTAAAAATACATTTGTTCACTCAGAATAGATTTTGGATCCCACATATCCTCAAAAAAACCCTGTTCCTTAGTGCCCATCTGTCTGTTATTGGAAATAGGACATCTAAGGTAGAGACGCATTTCATTTCAAATTTAGCTTCATAAAGTGAAAAAAAAAAGTACAGTAAGGATTTTGCTTTGAACACTGGCCATATAGTTTAGTTGATGAGACTTGGTGATAATGAAATTGAAGCTGCAGGTTCCTTCTGAAAAGGGTGTTGTTTTGAGAACAGAGCTCAGCAAACCCATGAGAAGAATCATTCTTGTTCTACTTCCTGCAACCCAGACGTTTGTAATTGTCAGCTGTCGCACAGTAAAGAAAGGTGAAAACAGAGACTCTTGAGATCTCGTAAGCCTTCTCTCTCTAGCTGCAAGAAGCCCTCCACTGAATGTTTCCAGAAGAGAGCAAGGAGAAAGGCAAGGGAATGCAGCTGGCTCTGGGGACACCTGCTTGGCCCCACTGTGCCAAGTTCAGCCCAGTGCCAGACTTCTTCAGCCACTCCTGCTATTGGATATGGAAAGAAAATCCAACAGACTCCCAGAGGACATGCACTGCAGTGCCCTTCTTGGTGTCCAGTCAGCTGTCGTGTGGTGCTGGGGGTGGAACTCAGGGCCTCACATGTGTTAGGCAAGTGCTCTACCCCTGACAACCCAGCCCTTCTCGTATGCTGTTTTACAAAGCTAGACTTATACTAGACAGGCACCTAGAATCTTTTCTGTCTTTCTCAGAGCACTAACCTTTCCTCTGTGCACATAGAGCCATTTACTTAAGATATGAAGATTAGCCAGGCATGTGTGGCACACACCTGTATTCCTAGCCCTTTGGGAGGCAGAAGCAAGAGGATCACAAGTTTGAGCCCACCCTGGGCCACATAGCAGTGTAGTGAGAACTGTCTCAAGATAAGAAAGCTCTGAGGTGCTCCTTGCTGTGGAGCCCTTGGTTCAATTCCTAGTATAGGAAAAAAACCTCTCTATTGCTTTTACAAAAGCTGCACAGAAAAGTAAAAGCTGCACAGAGCTGAGCCAACCATTTACTGTATAATGAAAAATTTTGTTTTTATTACCTAGATATTTACAGAAATTGGAAAGAGGGAGTGAAAGGCATTTGTGGTGCTCTGAGCAATGGAGGCCTGACATCAGTGTGGAATTTTCATTTGATTTTGCTATGCTACCCAAGTGGGGCTTTTGTTAGACTGAAAAGAGTATGTGAGCTACGAGGGTGAAAGAGTGTAGATGAAGCCATGCAAATTTATTGGAAAAATAACTTTATGTAGATGTTTATCAAAGGGAATTCTGTAATGTCCCTCATGTGGAAAAGACAGTATTTATGGACATGAATTATTTATATGTACCTCATACATTCCAGAATATCCTGAAGGTATTATCTATATATTTTAATTTAAAACCAAGTGAAGACTGACTTTTAAAAAGTGTTGTAGTGAGATTATTTTCATTCAGGCTAGCATCTGCTCTCTTCTCTAAAAGAATTTCCTTAAGTTATGAAAATTTAACATTCCAGGACAATTGGAAAATCTTCTGTAGGTTTGTGAATCAGGAGTTCCAGACTTTAATTCCATTTCTGTTCTGGTGATTGTAACTTGGATAAGCACCTGTCATCTTGGTACTTTAGCTTCTACATGTAAAAGATGGTTGGCGAGAAGGGAAACAAATAGTCTGTAACTGAAAACCTATATTGTAAAGATAAAAAATGTCTCTCATGCTCATTGGCAGTGTTTGCTATATGGCTGTGCCAACTCTGAGCATGCCAGATAGGCATGGGCAGGGTGGCTGCCAGGCCTGTGAGAATGGGTGCAAGTTTTGGGCCTTGATTATGCTTCCTGTTTGAATAGACCTGGGGGCAATTACAGAGATATGGCTGAGAGCCCAGGACAGACAATAAAGGGAAAGCAGAGCCACAGCCACTCTGATTTGGCATGTTACCCTGTTGAGGTCCTCTTGTCTTTGTAACATTGTGTAGTCCCGTCAGCAACTGCCACATAAACCTTAAATAATATCACAAAGGGACTACATGAGAAATGAATAGCACTAATGGAAGCCTGGTTGGCCTGGCTGGTTAGGAGCTTGTGGCTACTCCCTTTGATAGAGCAATATATTAATGTGATCTTAAGGAGAAAGATGACTGTTCTGTGGGTGAAGCTCCCTTGAAGAGATACCCGCTGTGGGCCAGGTGTGAGAGGCAGTAAAACAGCAACGAATAGCAAATGAGACTCTCCTGGAGTAGGTGAAGTCTCCTAAGAGATTGCTCTCCTAAGTGGTGTCCCACCTTCAGGTAGATACTAGTGAGGCTGATTTTGCTGTGATTAGCAGTTACTTGAAAAATAAAGAAAATAATAGTCTTATTCTTGGGTTGGAGTTTTTGAGTTTCAGATTGGCTGTGATCAAGCACTCCCGGGCACACCAAATGCTGTGTATTCATTTAAGGTTCCTGTTTGTCTCTTCCAGCTTCTGCTTCCTGCTCCCGGTACCTAATTTTTGCTCCTGCCTTCTACTTTCCTCCTAATGTGAGCTCAACCTTCACTTTCTCTGATGTTCTCTTTTCTGTTCACTGGGCTTCTGTTCACACCCTTCTGCAATGTGTTCCTTGACGTGGTGTGTGTGTTGATGGAAGTGTGCGCTTTCCCGCCATTCCCCTCCTGCACAAGAACATCCATTCCTCTCACGCCAACATGCAGTCTCTGTCTGCTGCTGTCTTTACCAGTCACACTGAGTGCTTATTCTCTTAAATCTATTTCAAGTGTTAAAAATACAGGGGCCAGGGAGATAGCTCAGTAGAATAAGCACTTGCCTAGCAAGCACAAGGGCCTGAGTTCAATCCCTGGTTCTGCCAATAGATAAATATATAAAATACAGATTGCCTTTTTGCAACTGGAAAAAAATAAATCTGATGAATACTTCTTTCCTTTTCTTTTTAAAGATCAGAATATATTTATTGGGGGAAATAAAGCTGCTGTCTGAGAGAGGGACAGAAGGGGGGCCCAAGCAGGTTGTCCCCTAATTTTTTTATCGTATTACTTTTACATTAATGAATTATGATTTGGACAGGCTCTGCCAGTGGTTTCAACTGTATTATATGCAAAATTTACTTTGTCTCCTCCTTGCTGAGCAAGGACCACCTAGTCCTTTTAGTAAAACTATAATTAAAATCCTTGGTAATTTATTTACTTATTTATTTATTTTTTTTGCGGAACCGGGGATTGAACTCAGGTCCTTGCACTTGCCAGGGAAGCGCTTATTCCACTGAGCCATCTCCCGGGCCCCTTTGGTAATTTACAAAACAAAAAAACAAAATTGGTGCTGAGGACAACCTAGGGCCTCATGCTTGCTAGACAAGCATTCTACCACTGAGCTAAATCCCCAGCCCATATAAATGTAATTAAAACTGCAAATGCAAAGACATTTCCATTTAGATCCTATTCTATGAGAATATCCATGAAAGTAAAGAAAAAATTCTGAGCTCCAAGTAATGTCTTATTTCCGAAAGAATCCAGTATAATAACACTGGGTTGCATTTGGTAGCCAGTTTGTTGCCTGTGGGTTTTTTGTTTTGTTTTGTTTCAGGGTCTCACTGGCTTTGAACTCACTATGTAGCCCAGGTTGGCCTCAAAATTTGCTGCAATCCTCCTAACTCAGCCTCCTGATAATCTGGCTCCCTATAATCTTTTGAGTGTTCAGATTTTTCCTTTTAGGATTTTACTCCTAGAATGAAGTGGGTGCTGTTACCTAGACATTTCCACTCAGTTTTGTTCATTATTCCTAAATCCTCTGGATACTTTTTGGGAGTTATAACGAATTTTATTAAATTCCCTTTATAGATCTTTTCCTTCACTCCTATCTTATGTTTCTTTTCTATTCCCATGACCTGTCCAAATCTACTTGAAAAACCATTTCTATTTTTTGTTTTCCCTCCTAGTCAATCATGTAGTGAGTGACCCATAGTTTGAGTTTTCATGGGCCTATTATCAGGCTCTTCAGTCAAGTCTGTCTTACCCATAATCTGGTCCTTTTCAGATTAGCCATTCTGATCCTGGCCTTGGAATTAATTTGTATTATTTACTACCATGTGTTTCTGGTGGGAGCCCAAACTGGTCTGGGTGCCATGTAAGCTTCTTCCTGCATTACTGGTTGAGATGTTTATGTTGGGGTGAGCCAGAGGTTACACCTAGAACCACTTGGTTCCCCTGTTATTTCTGGGATTCTGGCTTTGACCAATGCTGTAGTACCAACTATTTAATATTTTTTAGGGTTGAGTTTTATCAGATTGGTATAATATGCCCACCCTTACTCCACACTTGGAAAATTGTTCATGAATTCCCAGCATTAACAATTACACCAGCTATATGTGGTGGTACATGCCTATAATCCCAGCACTTAGGAGGCTGAGGCAGAAGGATTGCTGTGAGTTTAAGGCCAGCCTGAACTACACATCAAGACCTTGTCTAAAATATATATATATATATATATATATATATATATATATATACACATATATATATATTATATTTTTAAATAAAAAGATACAATGCTTAATTAAGCAAATCAAGCTTATAAGAGTAGGGGAATAAAAGATGCTTTACCTAATTCCTAAAGCCAAATGATTTTGCTCACCTTAAAAGTTATCCTCTTTAGAATCTGTTCTTATAATAATATATCCTTGGCACATGAATTAGATGTCTTCTTCTGTATCATTATGACATTTTCTCCTAATCCCTGCTCCTACGCCATCTTCTGCCTTTAACATTTTGTCTGCACTGACCTTGTGTGTGTGGTAGTTTGTCTATACCTTTCAACAATGTAGCCTAAGCCCACCTGTCCTCAGTGGTGTTACATTCGGGCATCCAGAAAGTTTCAGAAAGGAATACAGTAGAACCTCTTGGTTTTAAGGAGTCAGCTGATAGAGTTTAGGTTTATTGCCCTGTGAAAATTGACTGGCAAGCTCAGGGAGCCCTTAGATAACAAATCCTAAGGCCCATCCTAGCAGAAGCTTAGCCCATCACTGCCTACACCAAAGTTGTCCTTTCCCTTTTCCTTTTCCTAGAAGTTTCAGGCACCTGCCAGAGAGACCTGTGTTGAATGTCAGAAGACAGTCTACCCCATGGAGCGTCTCCTGGCCAACCAACAGGTGTTTCACATCAGCTGCTTCCGTTGCTCCTATTGCAACAACAAACTAAGGTAAGCCAGACCAAAACAAGCCAACTCGGTGAGCACTTGGAGCTCCAAAGGAATCTTTGGCTTTTATGACACTGATACTAAAAGCAGTTGTGCTAATTGTGTTGATTTGGAAGTTCCTGAAAAATTAGAAAACATTATTTAGTGACTGGTCTTTCATGCCTAATGATAGTGCTGTTTGGGGCATCTTGATACATTGCTGTGTTTGTTTGTATGTTAAGAATGACATTTAAGTATTGCAGATAGAGCCTCCTGTGACCTAATTTAGTAGATGATTTTCCCTTGGTATCATAGAATCATATAGTTAAGAAACCCTAAGAGATTACTCACCTAAACCCTTACTTCAGTGCCTTAAGCATTGTATAAATGGTAATAGCAGCAATAATTATAGCCCCTGGAGAGCATGTAGCCTCCATGTTGCTTTGTTTTATTTATTTCTGAGAAAATAATTGGTATGTATTATTCTGAGTAACTCAAAGATACACCTGTGACAAGCTGGAGGATTATTCCATGTTAATTCATTCTAACCTATTGTAAACCTCGCTTCAATCAGCTCCTTTGAGAAGGCAGAAACCAAGATGTCTGTCTGCCCAGCTTTTCTTCTAGAACAAGCATTTCTCCTATATACACTCGAAACGTGCCCTGGTACCTGCAAGGTACTTACAGCGGGGAGATACCTCACCATTGCTAGTGCTGGCGTTAGATGCCTCCATCTAGACAACACCTTTTTTTCTTTTTTTGGAATTACTTGATTTTATTTTACACTAGGTGGTGGGCACAGAGCAATCCTTAATAAAGCTGACAATTAGCTTCACTCAATATTTTTAATAATGCACATTAAAAAAAAGTATTCATCTTACAAATTGTTCTGCAATTCAAATACACAACAGCTTGGGAAGCAACATTTAGAAAACAAAAACCATGTAAAAAGACAGAGTAAAACAACTACAACAGTACAGGTTTTTATGGCTCAGATTCTACAGTTTTCTTACTGCATCATCAGTGTCAGAAATCTGCTCCTTCCGCTGGCTCCACTGCTCTGGATTTAAAGAAATCCCTTTTCTTCCTGGTTTCATTTCACCTTCTGGATCCATCCAATATTCTCTAATATCAATTAGAACTTTCCCCTTAAAGTCCCGAACTCTGACACGTCTCATTTTCCCAATCTGAAGCATGTTATCATCTCTGCTGCTGCTGCTCTGCTTAGATGACAGAGTTCTTGAGGTGTTGCCAGCCTTCTGCTTCTTTACAGGCTTTTCTGGAGTGACTTGCCTTTTCCTCTTTAAGTTTTTGTCAACTTCACTGTCAGAATCGCTGCCTAAAGAGCTTGAAGAAACAAGTTGCTTTGATTTAGGCTTTGCTCCGCTGCTGCAGCCGACAGCCTCCTGCTCGCTCAAGACTTTTTTTTTTTTGAAACAAGGTCTTGCCATGTAGCCCAGGCTGGCCTTAGACTCACAGTGATCCTACTGCCTCAGCCTCCCCGGTGTTAGGATTACAGGCATGTGCCACCCCACCCAGCAACAACTTCCACTTATGTTTTACCAAAATCTGTCTCTGTGACTTCTAGTCAGCTGGAGGTTTTTGTTTTTCTGCCCCCTAAGTTCATTTCTGCTCTGGAGCACATTATTTTTAGGAAATGCTTTCCTTATTGTAACCTTTTAAAATATATTGACCTATGTCTTATTCACCTTCTTAGTTGCTGGGACACCATACTCGACACCCAGAATTTAAGGAAGGAGAAGTTTATTTTGGCTCGTGTTTCAGTCCATAGTGGGCTGGCTCCAAGGCAGCTTGGCATAGTAGAGAGGGTGATGGCAGAGGAGAGTTAGCTGTTCTCAGCCTGGTGGACAGGAAGCAGAATTGAGGGAGGGTCTAGGAAGGGAGATAATACTGTTAGAGTCACACCCACGGTGACACACCTCTTGCAACCAGGCCCTACTTCCTAGCAGCAAGTAAGCTTATAATCAATAGTAGGGCATGAGGACTTGGGGAGAACCATAATACACCCTCAGAGAGACTAAATATAGACTTACCCAGCACTGACACTGAGCAAGACCGGCCTCCTGGCTGCTGCTCACTGTTACCCTATTAACCACAGCATGCTTTATGCATGCTGAGGATCAGATCTCAGCCCTTGCACGTGCTAGGTGAGTACCCACCCTCTGAACTTATTCCTGTCCCCATAGCTTGCATTTATTCAGTCAGTAATAGCTATTGAGTGCCAGCTATTTTCAGAGCATTATATTCTCTCTTGTAGAGTTACGCCTTTAAATTGTGGCACCAATGGGAAGTAGAGAGACAGAGATTCAGGGGTTTTGTTTGTTTGTTTGTTTGTTTGTTTAGTGAAGGAACATCATTATAAGTAGTTACAGGTTATAAATACTGAAGAAGTATAAAAATGCTCAGAATTAGGAATGCTTACCTAGGGAAGATTTCTTGGGGGAAAAAAAGTAATTTAAAAAAACATTTTGACAGAGCAGAGTGAAGTGAGTAGAAAATGAGGAGCATATACCAGATGGAAGAATGACTTATTGGACCAGGGAGATAGCTCAGTAGAATAAGCACTTGCCTGCAAAGCACAATACCCTAAGTTCAATCCCTGGTACCTCCCCCCCCCCCCCCCCCCCAAAAAAAAAAAAAAAAGAAGAAGAAGAACAACAACAACTACTAATGAAGGCTTAGTCTTAGACACAGCATGTTTCATGAAAGGCTTAAAAATATATGTGTGTTTAAAAGGGGGTAGAGAATCCTACTTCATTACTGTGCTTTTAAAGATATTTTTCTCACTTAGCATCTTTTGAAAATACTAGAAATGCCAGATACTAGCCTACTGATATAAATGAGAATATTAAGATTTGTTAACATCAGTTCTTTTTCTTTTGATGACAGTCTAGGGACATATGCATCTCTACATGGGAGAATATACTGTAAGCCTCACTTCAATCAACTCTTTAAATCTAAAGGCAACTATGATGAAGGCTTTGGGCACAGACCACACAAGGATCTGTGGGCAAACAAAAACGAAACCGAGGAGTCCTTGGAGAGACCAGCCCAACTTCCAAATGTGGCAGGAACGCCACAGAGCCCAGGAGTAGAAGATGCCCCCATTGCAAAGGTGGGTGTGCTGGCTGCAAGTATGGAAGCCAAGGCTGCCTCTCAGCCAGAAAAGGAAGACAAGCCAGCTGAGACCAAGAAGTTGAAAATCGCCTGGCCTCCCCCTGCTGAACTTGGCAGCTCAGGAAGTACCTTGGAGGAAGGAATCAAAGTTTCTAAGCCCAAGTGGCCCCCTGAGGATGAAGCAAACAAGCCAGAAGCTCCTGAGGATGTAGATCTGGATCTGAAAAAGCTGAGAAGGTCTTCCTCACTGAGGGAGAGAAGCCGCCCATTCACGGTCGCAGCTTCATTCCGAACCTCCTCTGTCAAGAGCCCCAAAAATCTGTCCCCACCTATCAGGAAAGGCTGGAGCATGTCAGACCAGAGTGAGGAGTTTGCAGAAGGGGTAGTGGCAGAAAGGAAACAAGTGGAAAACACCAGGGTTCCTGAGAAGAATGAGCGCATGGAGAAAAAGACCTGGCAGAATAAGGAGTCTAATAAAAGAGAAGAGACAGGGGGAAGAAGTAGGGAAATTCATAGTTTTGAGATGGGAAGTGAAAATCTTGCAGAAAATGGTGCAAACCTTGATGATGATTATAGCCGCCTCCTCAAAGAGCAGTCTCCAGTAGAACCCAAGACTCCAAATTGGTCCACCTTTGCAGATACCACTGCCACTAAAGAATGCATTCCTCAGAATCAGAAATCCCAGGATATGGGATTCTGGGAGGGAGAAGTGGTCAAAGAGCTGTCTGTAGAAGAACAGATAAAGAGAAATCGGTACTATGATGAAGATGAGGATGATGAGGAATGACAATCTGCAGTGGTGCTGGGCCTTAAGTCCATCTTAGTGAACCACTGCCCTTTGTCAGAGTGATGAGAGAAATGGGAATCCTAATAGGAACTGTCATGTTTGTGCAAGCAACTTTGGAAATGAATTCCTGCTACAAAAAAAAAAAAAAAAAAAAAAAAAAAACTCAGTAAACTAATTCTACTCAGTGTCAGGCTTGGTGCCACATACATATAATCCCAGAAGGATTGCCCACAAATTCAAGGCCAGCCTGAGTTACATCATGAGACCCTGTCTCAAAACCAAAAACAAATTCTAACTGCTAAAGATAACATTTCTTAACTCTTAAATATTAGCCATGATGATATGCATAAGTGCTTATAAGCAGGAAAATTTTCCAGCTGATATAATCCAGATTCTACTGTATTCCCAAAAGATAATATTAAAGTACATGGATGATTAATAATAATTTTTATACTATAGATACTATTGTGGAAAGAAAAACAAGGGATTTAAGAATCTAAACATCATGATTGAATGCACTTTAGCATAAAGGGCACAGTTTGTATATTTTTAAATGAATACCAATTTGATTTTTTAGTATTCAACTGTTAAGAGATCAAATATTTAGTCTTTAAGATTTTTTAGGTTAATTTTCTTACTCTGATTATATGGGAAATTTATCACTTTGTATCCTACTCTTTACTTCTTGAATTATTGAGGTACAAGATAACCACCTTTTCATAGCACCTTTAGAGACGGTTGAAGAATCAGCCTATAAGTTTTGGTGCTTGGAGAGATGCACTGCCTTCCAACTATGCTGTGGTATTTGCCAATGAGCTTGACTACACCCCAACTGATTGCTTTCTTTTTATCCCTTCTCACAACTTACTGAAGGTTGCAATATTTTTGTAAGACTTTTGGATCATTATTCACCAAGCTCCATGTTAGAGCAAAGTAAGTTTAAAGGAAGAACAACAGAAAGAACAGCCTTAAGCCACGTAAGTGCAGATCTCCAAACCTGTATTTCACTTCCGATATCCCCTTTCTGAGACACTAATTTTAAATACTTAGTTCCAAAACACGCTGTTTTTTTAATGGCAGACTCTATTCCCAGAGTGTTATCAAACCAGCGATAGGCTTTTTTATTGGGATGATTTTCTTTAATATTAAGGTTGGAACCCATGAGCTTGAGTACATTTGTTGTACATAATTGGTATTCCAAATTGTATGTAGGAGAGGAAGGGGTATTTCAAGATACAGGCGTTTTTTGGGCTGGCGAGATGACTCAGTGGTCTAAAGCACCTACTTGGAACAAGCTTGGCAAAGCACAGGGACCACGGTTCAATCCCCCAGCACCACATGCCAGCCAGCCTCGCGCCCTGGTGGGCTGAGCTGGCCACACACACATACACACACACAATATAAATAAATAAATAAATGTTAAAAAAAAAAGATACAGGCTTTTCTGTGTACTACATTTATATTTAGCACTAACATTTTTTAGAGATGTAAAATATTTTGTTTTCTTACTGTCTTGATTAGTCTGGGACATTTTCATTCAATAAAGGTTTTAACTTAATTTGAACTTGTCAGTATTCCTTTTACATTTACACATCGTTAGAAACCGTCCTGATCTACTTCACTGCAGTAGTTTGGTAAGAAAAATTTAAAAAAACAAGCAAAAAAACCCCCAAAAAACAAAAAACAAAAAACGGGTGTGGGAAAGAAAAGCACTATAAACTTGTTTTACCACTAGGTGGTGATGTTGTACTGAACTTGAACTCCCTGAAGGAAAAAAACCAAAAAACGAAAATTGCAAAAAAAAAAAGAAAAAAGAAAAAGAAAATTGCAAGCAACTTGGCAAGAAAATTGGTGTGTGCATTCAAAATAAGTTGTTTGCTTTAACATTTCAAAATTTAGTGGTTTTTATTACTATATGTAACATTTAACTCATCTTACAATTATACCTAGCATGCTAAATAGAATTTCTAAATCCTGCTGAAAATAGATGGGTTTTCCATTTTGGGCAGAGGCATTTACCTTGGTTGATTCCTTTTGTAGAAGTAACTGCTGCAGTTGTTACATCTTTTAAGAGTAGGGTGGAAATATAAATTTCCTTGAATATAGATACACTTTTTGAATCCTCTTACATTTTCCACAGTCAATGTATGCTTCTGGGTCTTCTCTACATGACTTCTGCTCTTAATCTCCACCCCAAACTATTTATAAAAAATCACTTACAGAAGATCCCAGATCACAGAACAGTTAACCCGGGAGCCTATAACAAAATATCTAGTCTTGGCTTGAGTTTACCAACCCTTCATATGTGACTATTGGCTTTTGTATTCTGTTCACATGGTATGCAGCATAGGTGCTGACCTTATATAAAACAGTCAGTGCCTACAACAAATACTGTGAAATTCATATTTGTTAAGTGAAATTCTGTATCACTTGTAATTTTTTGTTTTAATACTATTTTGTACTCTTTAAAATATTTTTTAAAAAATCAGTGCCAATTCTAAAATTGTATTCATTCTAATTTTTTGCATTAAATTCAAGTTTTAAAAAAAATCAGTGCCAATAGTTATCAGTTGCATATATCACCATGTATCAGATACTTAAGGACTGAGATTCTTCTCTGAAGACCCTTTGCTGTACCTTTCAAGGGCTAGAATGAACATTGCTGTAAAGAGCAGAAACAAAGTGAAACTCCATGTTCAATATAATAATAGGATTTCCCTGTCAGGAAGATTTCCAGATAGCAAAAACATTCTTAGGAGACAAATACTACAGCCAAACAAAAAATGTATTAATTATTTGTCCCTTTTGGCTCTCTAAATGAAAGCAATCTTGTTTGGACTTGGTATGTCAGTAACAATAGGATGAACCAGCAGCAAAAGGAGCCAGTTTGGGACGTGAGATGATTACAGAGACTCATGACTAATGCCATACCGGCAGGGTTCCATCAACTTACTGATTATAGCACACTACGCCTTTGTGTGTTTTTGTCATCACATAGTTCATCAGCAAAGTGTTTTCTAACATGTTGAGAACTAGCATAAGTCCACTTTGAGAGAAAAAGAATTTTGAATAGGGTCTTAGACCAAGACCATTGTGCACTTGTTTCTGCATGCTGAGGTAGCACGTTATGGGTTCCTTGGGGTGCTGGTTTAAATTGCTCTGGGATTCAAGAGGAAGCACACTTTTAAAAATTTATTTCAAATATAAGGTAGTTATCATTAAACTAGTACTAGCTTTGGGTGCAAATAGCTTCAGGTGGTGGTTCTCAGACCAGCAGCAGTGGCATCACCTATGAATTTGTTAGAAATGAGAAATGCGGGGCTCAGCTCGCATGTGCTTGCTTTGCATGCAGGCGGCTCTGGGTTCAATGCTCAGACCAGCATCCCTTCAAAATGGAAGAAAACGAAGGAAGTGCAAATTTATAGGCTCTGCCCTTTCCTCCTGAAATTAGGTGTTCTCTGCACAGTCCCAGAAAATTTATACTGAGCCTATGAATGTTGGTTTGAGAAGCACTGATCTAAAGTAAATCTCTAGCCTACTCCTTGGGATGTATCACCCACCATCCCCAACTTTTAATTCTGCTATAGCATACCTTCCTAGTTATAAGTTATCTATGCTGAGATGATAGGTAGAGGTTTGGTTCTGTCTGCCCCTCCCCCATCATTATAGTTAACCTGACAACTTTGTACCCAGGTTTTAACAGACTTCAGGGTTCTCAGGCACTTGAAGGACAGTTTTTCCTCTGTTGAAGTTTCCTAGGCTATGGGCTTCTCTTTTTGTTCGTGTAGATTCACACAGACTGCACTGTACAGCGTGAGAACCAAAAATCAAAGCAGTTGATAGGATAAGGGGCTTAGAGTTCTTCAATCTAAGACTTTGCAGATTCCATTTCTAATCTATATGGGCTTTGGCAAGCTGGCCTCTGGACTTTGGTTTACTCCTCCATAAACAGTGGACTAGTATCTTCATAAGGTGCAATGGAACCTCTGTAAAATGTTCCGTGCAGTACCTGGCACACAGTAAACTTCACTAAATATTAGCCAACTTTTTTTTTCCTTACTGGGGATTAAACCCAGGGCTTCCCATATGCTAAACACATGCTCTTAACGTTGAGCTACACCCTCAGCCTATTTTGCTGTTTGTTTTTATATTTTTCTTTGGGTGTTTCCCTTTCTATGTTGCTTTTTCTTTTTTGGTACTGGGAATCGAACTCAGGACCTTGCGTTTGCCAGGCGCTCTGCCGCTGAGCCACATCCCTGGCCCCTTCATATTGCTTTTCGTTTCTTTCCCCCTATGAGACTAAAAGGCCTTTCTAACGTCTATTTTTTTCTGAGGAAAAGCGATGGTAACTTTTAAGGGAATAAGAGGTGTAATGGGGTGGGGCTCGTGGAAAGGCAAGAAGAGACTGAGGTTTAAAAAATACTAATGGTGGAAGCTGCAGCCGAGATGCTAGGGAACTCCGCGATGAAGGGCGGCTGGGGCTGGACGCCGCCGCCGCCTACGGCGCTGGGCGCGGAGGAGCAGCGCGGCCCGC